TCTTGGAAACTGGCCAGGCAGTTGAAACTCCATTGAATAGTTGTTTTGCACCATCTTTTTTTTCACAGCTTCTTGTTTGAGGACGAGACGACGGGATTTCCGCAAAAGTAATAAATTCCGATTGGGATTAAGGTTCCTTGGGCGCCTTGAAGCATCTTGATAGGTAATTCGAGGTGTCGTAACTGGTGGTAACTTCGTCGCAGTTTTGAATTGTATGTTTGCTGAAGGAAGTTCTGGGATCCTCTCCAGTGGTGTGGTCAGCCCCTTTGCGTTAAAGCACTTGACAAGCATCTGTGCGGCGGAAGCGCGTTCATTTGGATCCACTCTCCCCATTTCTTGAATAATATCCACATATGAGGAAGCATTGAAGATATCCCTGTGTACATCTTGTATAGAAGAGTACTTCTCAGAATTCTTGCGGAAGCCATTTAAATCCAGTGTCCACAGTACTGTCACGAAAAGAGACCACACGTCCGCTTTGTGCGTCTGGCCAAGCCCCTGGAAGAACTCGGGCGCCATGAAGATCGGAGTGCCGGCAAAAGTCACCGCTTCTACCGTGAAGTTACAGAGACCGAAATCTCCAAGTTGGAAGATAAAATGCCCGTGCTGCCCCGTCCAAAGGATATTATCCGGCTTGACATCTCGGTGGATGATATCGTTTGCTGCCAAGCAGTCGAGCGCCTGAAGCATCTGGTTCAAAACAGACTGCGCGAGGACGGTGATCGACTCGAATGAACCCTCCTGGACCAATGAATCTAAACTTCCTTTCATGTAGCCCATAACTATCTGCACCTTCCGTCCATCCAAGCATTCCGACGCAATATAGTCAACGATATGGGGCTAAGCACTGTATTAGTCTCATGGGCTATAAGGAAACCAGGAATAAGAGCACACATACATGGCTTATCTGTGAAAGGATCTTGACCTCTCGTTTCAATAATTTCCTCCACCGCTCTAGTTTTGACACTTGCTCTGGCGGTTGCAAAACCTTGACGGCAACAAGCTTGCCCGTGTCCACATTGATGGCCTTGTATACGGTTCCGAATTGTCCAGATCCAAGCTCACCCAGCTTTTTATGTCTTATCTTCGGTTGAAAATGGCCTGGCGTGTGCGTTCGCGTCTCCCTACGGGACGGCAAGACGGTTTCTGAATCGTCCACGGTCCGGGCTAGGCGAGGGTTCTCAGCGTAGCCGCCTGGCAAATTTTCCGACGAACTTTTCGTCCTCTCCATCGTCTCAGCTGCATTTGGCTGCCACTCCAGCTCGAATACGACGAGGTCTTTTCCCACACCGCCCATACCGACCACAGTGTTCAGTTTTTCCTGCACCAGGATTTTGCGAGAACGTCCGTGCTCGAATGGCATAGCATTATCGCCATAGACCTGTGTCATTTGGCCGTGGGATCTGTCATAGAGCATGATCACAATTCGGTTCGAGTCGAACTCGCAAGAGGATTGGATCTCAAACGAGCATTGGAGCTTCGCAATGCTGCTGCCCTCAACAAAGATATCGGCATCCGCACCGCGCCCCAACGTCGCAAGTGTTCCGTATGACTTCGACCGGATTTGGAAGCCGATGTCTAAACCAACAGATCCATCGCTCAGGATCGAGGTGAGATGGCTGTTGCACGGATGAACGACGACATTTTCAGCTCGCTCGTTCAGAGGCCTGAGAGAAAACAAGGCAAGAGGATGTGGATGAGGACGTGGGCGTGGACCTGACATAGCTAAGAAATGCCAGGCAGATGTCCATGCCCCGGTTGGCAGAAGGGAAGCGGTGTATTTAGGTCATG